TCATAGGTTGTTGTTGAATAATAGCTCCATTTAGAACATTTTCTCTTTCTTAGTTTTCAATGCTTTAATTTGATAGGGAATTCAGTCAAGTGAACTCAGCCCTTCAGTGTTTTGCTGACGACCTTGTAGCATCAGACAGCAAATAGCTTTGCTTTCCTTCCTACTGGATCACAAAGCAAAAATCTTGTATTGAGATGTGTTTAGCAATCTCTGCTTGGATTTGATTTCTCGGACAAAAGTGCTAAACGTTGAAGAAAAAAGCGGAGGCCGAAAACTGGAAGAATGGCGTCCGCAGGAGCCCAAACCTCGACAAACAACTTGAATCGACCCACCACCAGAAACACAATCGAGTTTTTCTTTTCTTTTCCGGTTACAATATCCAGCAAAGTGCTGAGGCCCGAGAGAATAGATACTCGGCACTCGCTGACTCTTACAAATCGATAGAATCCATAGCCCGTCGAGAGCGAAGGGATTACTTCCCTAATTTTACCAGCTGGATTTAGATTATTTGGCCAAGCCAATCACGTAATCTTGAACTCTCGGCGACATTCACTCTATTGATCAATAAAAATTGCGTGTGTCAATATGAAAATCTATAGACTATGGTAGAATCCTATACGCGAAAGAAACGCGCAAATTATTTGACTGGACTAATTGAAGGCAGCGACGCACATGAAATTATCGGTGAGCCATAGAAAGTCACAAGAGGCTACATGTCTGTGACCTAATTGATTTCTGGTGGAATGAGAAAGCTGATCAAGCAATTAACTAGCAGTTAGTCATCGAATCAAAACAAAGGATGAAGCACTAATAAGCTACGCATGATTGATAGCAGAACCAGAGTACTGGCATGAGAGGAAAAAAAAAAAAAAAACTTAAAACTGATCGAAAGGTTAGTTGCCTTTATTTAACAGAGTCAAATGCTTAGCAGTGCTAACTAGTGTTGATCATATCACTGTCACTTCTCAAACGAACCAAAAAGGAAAAGAGAAGAAGTTAATGTTGAAAAACAAACGGATAAAACAGACAATATATAGGAAAACAAGAGTCTAGATTAGGAACTGTCTTAAGAATGATGTTCTACTTTTTAAAATCACCCTCAATTATTTTTAGGTGGATGGTGCCTAGGTTCATGGTAATCAGCATTAAAAGCTACAAAACCTGACTTCTTAACCCCTTCAGGAAATCGACCCCCGTTTCTCTTATTTCCTATATCCATAACCTCTCTTTCGTAGCCATATTTTCCAACCACTTGATCATTTGCACTCGAAATCCTTGAGGTCCCTCCATGCGCTACATTGCCCTTAATGTCTGGCCTTTTGATGTTGTGGGCTCGAACCACTTTTCTTCCTCCTATCTTTTTAATGCTGGTCGTGACCATTCCATCGCCATCCACTACTATCTGCAGGCAATTAACATGAAGCACTTCAGAAATGGACCGACAACAAGGATATCAACCGGTATTGGGCAAACAGTTGATTATTGCTATGTTGGCACGAATTCTTTACCCTTTCACTTGAAAAAGTTTCAACTTCCACAGCTGCTAATTTCCCATTTCAAGGTTCAAATGAAAAATGTTAGTATACAAAATCGAATAACGTCAAGAACCCCAGATAAAAGTAAAATACAACACAGTAAAGGGAAGGCAATATACTTGGATGGGCATGTGCACTGTTGAGCCATGCACTTGTAAACAGCAGTAAGAGCAGCAAGCATGTGAACTTCATAGGCGAAGCAGCCATTTTCATTGAGTATGTATATCTGTTTTTGCATTCAAAACAGCAGAAGAGAAATGAAGGAAAGCACAAAACTGAGATTTATAGAGGCTCAAATTAACACGAGTCAAATGTCGCTTTAATGCTGCTATATACCCTAGTGAGATAGCTAACGCAATGGTCCCAACATTCGTTTCCCCATGTTCAATTGTTAATTAGTTACTGTTATTTCAGAATTTGTACACCACCTTATAATACATTAAATTATTGCATGAACCCTCGGGTTACCACATGTGTCAATTGGACCAACGAAAACGAGAATCTCAAAGCACTTTTTCAATCACAATATGATTCAACTTTTTGTGCATTGGGATGTCATGAAAGGTTTCGCAGGCGACAGGGTTTAATTATAAGCTGTAATTTGATTAATTAATAAAACTCCTAAACTCATTTATAACTGATCTGTGCATATTTGATAATAGAGTAAATAGAAACATCTGAAAAAAGTATAAATATAATTTTTTTGAACATGTCTTAGAAAAGTACTTTCAAACGTCCTGGTCCAAACGTATTGCCAAAACACAAGTTAGTGTTTTCATTAATTAAGAAAGAATGTGTTTTTGAAAAGAAAAGGAAAAACTGGTAATTTAAGGATGGTCGCATTGGCTTAGGGCTTATTTGATTTTATACTATAGTGACTAATTATTAATCAAATACCACAAACAAGGAGGAGTGGGCTATAATCAACTCTTGACGATTGGCGTTGGAACCAATACAGAGCCACTAACAGTTTTGATGGAGGTGGGAGGTGAAGAATGTGACAACGTTGAAAGGAAACTAACTGTGTTTTGCGCCTGTCTGCCGCCATCCAATCAACGAGGATGGTTTTTCTTATTTACGAGATTTATAAAGTCTAATGCCAGGCTTTCTATGTTTATTTTATCTATATAATTACTGTTCCCTATATAATGGAAAATGGATTCAGATCAATTCTAGCTCTTTCTATTCTACTGTGCTAGCTACGTGTGTAACAAGTGTGGACTCATTAACGATGGCGCGAGACCAGCCATAGCTTCAGATTGGCTATGGACATGCGAAATTCATGATTCATCTGTTAGAATATTTGGCAACAAGCAAGGTACCATGGTTTCTTTCTGAGTTTAAGGTGGTGTGTTTGGCATATATAACTGGGTAAGACAGTGACTGACAACTTAGTTTGTGCTCTGATATTTTGGGAGAAAATAGAATAGAATAAATGCTAGATTTTGCCTGACTTGATTTCCATCCCGCTGAGAATATATTGCAGTGCTATCCAATCAAGTCCAGTCGACTAACCACAGCTTAATCACAAACCAAATAGAAAATCAAGGGGCCGGGAGGTGATCACACCATGGATTTACTAAAACAACATGGCTAATTAATTAAGATAAAGCATGAAAAGCTGCAATATTGGGGTTTAGAGCATAGGAATTAGAAGACAGAAGGCGTTCCTCCCAACTTCAATTTGTTTAGAAATTCTGTGGGTGGGCTCTCTTCCATTGAGGACTGTGGGACTATGAATTTCACCAAGGGCCAAACTACCACCCTGCAACTATGGAAACTTGTGCTACGTATCCTTTAGCCACGGCCATGCTATGGCTGCCACAGGACAACCCCTCTTGGTGCTTCTCTAGCTCCATGCAGAAAGACTATACATGTCTCTAGCTACCTGGGTAAAATATTTGTTACCATATATATATTTAGTAATGGCTGGCTGGAGTGCTGGTTATTCAACGGTGTGTCCCACAAAATATATTATTTTTAATATTCAAAAGCACAAATTGTCAAAATATCTGACTTCGATACATATCTTCTGCTCTTTTAATGAAAAAAAACAAAAATATAAACAATTCTGAAGAATAAAAATACAAAATTGAAAGTATGGAACTTATTGCAAATAGGGAAGTGTATTCACTGTTTTTTTTTTATTAGAAAAAGGACAACAAAAGCAGTGCCAGGAATAAAAAAGGCAACTGGGGTTAAAAAACGAATAATTATTATTATAAAGATTGATATTACAATTCTAAAGGATTTATTTTTTTCAAATCACACAGAGCATCTGCAATGTAATATGTTTATGTTCCTTTTCAATATATTGAATTTTTAATAATGTCCATATAGGTTAGTTTGATAATATTAAACTAATTATTATCATTAAATAATATTAAATAATTAATAATAATAATGTCCAAACGAGTCCCAAGAATGGGGATGCTGGACTCCATTCATGAGCTCCTCGAGATGGGCTTGAGTTTCCATGTTGAGGCTTGTTTAGATTGTGGGCCGAGGTGCCCAAGAACAAAGACTAGGTGGCTTGCGGCATGCCCTGGCCCTTCTTGATGGCCTTGATTGATTTCAAGTTCGTCACAGCTGCATGCAGAGGCTCCATGTAAGCACTAGCAGCATCCACGAGGACCAACTTGCAAGGAGGCGTGGAACTCAAAGTTCAAACGACTAACAAGCATTTGATCAAAGTAAAAGCTAGAGGCTCCCTCGACCAAAAAGAAAGAAAGAAGGAAAGAAAAGGCTCCCTCGTCCTCAAAATTTTTGAATGAGGTCTCTTGGCGTTTATTAGTCCTCCGTGCTTCGAGTTAGTGGAATCGATTTTCATTTTGGAGTTTTATTTTCCTGCTTATAAAGTTTGAATTTTTATATTTGAATTTCCACCATTGATAGGGTTCTAAGTTCTAGTCTTGACATTGAGAAGATGAAAACTCTTCTAGACATGCAATTTTTTTCTCTATCATGTGCATGTACGATCAATTTATTTGTGGGTTTATCTCTTTATAAAAGAAAAAAAAAATCAAGTCACGAGCAAAATGATGAGTGCTGGAAATCTTACAAGGTAAACATAAATAGAAGACATTTAATGATGAAAGAAACTGAAAATCTTATAATTTAGGAGTGAAGAAATACTGGGCACACGCAATTATTATTATAGTTTTTTTAATGGAGAAACGAAACAGAGATGATTATGAAATAGCAATTTCTACTCATTGCGAGCTTTAGGCAATGGAAAGCAATTAGGAAGAGCCACAATTTCAAAGTCAAAAAACTATATGTACTTATATGTAATCATGAAGTGTTCCCTATTCCCTTCTAAACTAGTCCCACCCATTCCATTTACTTTGAGTTTTTTTTTTTATTTTTTTTCTGGGAGTCCTTAGTCCCACCCACCCATTCATCATTCATCCGCTTTATTTCTAGCATTAAATCCTTTTTTTTTTTTTTTTTTTTCTGGGAGTCCTTAGTCCCACCCACCCATTCATCATTCATCCGCTTTATTTCTAGCATTAAATCCTTTTTTTTTTTGTTCTCTCTCGAGTTTTTTGTCCATTATACATCAAAGCAAGCATCATCATCAAGATACCGGCTTCCAACAAAGAAGTATAATTATTCTAATGGATTTTAGGTATGGCAAAAAATAATGCTAACCGAGAGACACATAGTCTAGTCTGAAGAGAAAGCAGGGCCTCTAGCATTGCCCTTTTTGGCTCCTATCATCAAATATGTTTTTGGAAATGAATTCAAACTTATCATCCAATTCCAGACAGCCTGGAATTACTCTTCATCAATAACCTATAAAAATCCTTTCCTCTAATTTTGTTCTTTCCATGTTTGCTCTCACAAAGACCATATCTCCATCCATTTTTATCTAGAACCAAAGAACTAAATAAATTCACACACTTAAACTTTACCATGCACTTCAGATAGCCTTTCACACCCCCAAAAAGTTAATCACCTCCAGGCTCTCCATCAGTATTCTTTTTAACCAGATGGGGGTAGCAACATCATCCATGGCAGCAAAATTTGCTTTCTTTCCACCAAATCCACCATCTTACACCATATTAGTGGATGAAGAAACCGGAAAACTTAGGCTCTCATCAGATACACTCCACCAGAGGGACAACGTAGATGTTTTGAGATTGTGTACCAAGAAAGGCAATGAGATTGTTGCCATGTATGCGAAGAATCCATCAGCTTCATTGACAGTGTTGTATTCTCATGGCAATGCTGCTGATATTGGCCAGATGTATCATATTTTCACTGAGCTTAGCTTGCATCTCAATGTTAATCTTATGGGGTGGGTCAGCTTGATCATTTTAATCGATGCGTATCAACAATTTTTAGTTTCTTGCTACTAGTATTTTTTTTTGTGTGTTTTGGATTTTATAGCATGATGATCTATGGCATTTTGTTCTTTGGTGCTATGCAGGTATGATTATTCTGGCTATGGACAGTCTTCTGGAAAGGTACAAAATTCTGTCTGTTTCCACCTGACTTTAAAATAATCGTTCAGAAAGTTAGTGATCAAACTAAAATCCAAACCAGTCAAGCTCACTTGGGCATGGAATTAATAGCAGGTCTCATACTTTCATGAAAATGTTGAGAGAAAATTGTTAAAAGTCGAAGCATAGAGAATCGAAATGTGACTTTCTATGCTTCATGACAAGACTCTTTTCTCATGTTTGCCTTGTTCTACACGGGCTCGAGCAAATTTGGCAGGCCGGCCTAATTAACCTCAGAATTAGGAGGCGGAGGGGGTTGTTAGGGTGAACTTCTAATTACCTCGCAATATACATGATACACTGAGAAAGTACTTATATTATGGTAGAAAAGAAGCGAGTAGTGTCCGGGGTTTACTACAATGTCCTGGGTTTCTACCAAGCCGACAGAGTTAAAATGCATATGTGGGTTAGTCCCTTGAACTAATCTAAGTGAATTTTTTCATCACTTTATTCAAATTTAATGGTCCAACAACTTTGATATTCTACTGACGCCGGCATTCTAGACTCACCAAATGACCAAGCCTGCTTAAACCAGGTGCTGAAACAAGAGATTACACTTTGAACCATTATCATTTTTGTGAACTACCAAGTTAAAAGTTCTTGGGTAGAGAACGTACTCAATTTATCACAGGTTGACATTTCCACTAGTAATTACAAGTCTTCTAGAAAACTCTGTTTCAGAATAGCGTGTTGTTTTCTCTGTGAATTATAGTAAGTGAAATGACGGCTGATTTTGTGCAATGCATTGATGCCAATTAGCCAAGTGAGCAAGACACGTATGCTGATATAGAGGCTGCATTTAAATGCCTTGAAGAGACATATGGAGTGAAGGAGGAAGACATTATATTGTATGGCCAGTCGTTAGGGAGTGGACCTGCTCTTGAATTGGCTACCCGTTTGCCTGAATTAAGGGCTGTTATTCTTCACAGCCCTATCCTGTCTGGCCTTCGAGTCATGCATCCTATCAAGAAAACATTCTGGTTCGACATTTACAAGGTTTGTCTCTCACATTTTCGCATGTAATTTTCCTGTGTTAGATTTGATACGTCCTTTCAGGGTAATCCTTTATTTTTCCTTGCAGAATATTGATAAAATCCCGCTAGTCAATTGCCCGGTTCTTGTAATTCATGTGAGTACCGTTTCCTCTTGTTTATCTGCTGAAGCCGAATTCAGTCTGGCATGTTCTGCAAATTTCGATGCAATATTTTAGCCTTATTGTAGACCTTTGCTTCCAAATAATGTTATTCAAACTTCAGACACAGCAGAACTTTCCTCTTTCTTTATAAATAAGGATCTGAGCTTTCTCGTACACCACTGAGAAACAGAATTTCACGATATGAGTTGTGTTCTTGCAAAAACACATTGATGTTCTTTATTGTCATCACGATGCGGAGGAGTCCATTATGCAGTATTTTCCTGTAGTCAAACTCTTTAATAAATAATATGATTTCAGTTCATTAGGCCTGAGCTATGACTATGAATAACCACTATTCTTAAGGAATGGCTCAAAATGGCGCAGAATGTATATGGAATATGAACCAGTTGCTTCGGAGAACTCGAAATCCTACATTATTTTCATGAAAACTTTTTGCAATACTTGAAACTGATCAAATTTAAGAAACAGAAGATGCGAAAAATTGTGTGATGAAATGTAATTTCCCTACTGGTTCTTGCAGGGAACAGAAGACGAAGTTGTGAATTTCTCTCACGGGAAGCAGCTCTGGGAGCTTTGCAAAGAGAAGTACGAGCCATTGTGGCTTAAAGGAGGGAACCACTGCAATCTGGAACTCTACCCAGAATACTTGAAGCATCTCAAGAAGTTCATATGTGCCATCGAAAAATTGCAGCCGTGTCTTAGAAATGTATCAGCCCAAAGTGCTGATCAACCTGAACAACCCTTGAATACTGCAGAACACAATGCAGAGAAGCCAAGGCCAAGCACAGATCATAAAGAGAAGGCAAGGCCTAGCATTGGACACAGAGAAAAATCCAGGCTAAGCACAGACAGTAGAGAGAAAGCAAGAGCCAGCACTGACAGAAGAGAAAGGGCACGGAAGAGCATTGATCGCATGGGCAAAGCAAGAAATAGCACGGATCAGCCAGAGAAAGCTAGGAACAGCTTCGACCGGTCCATACAACTAAAGGCTTAATTTGTTTTGTTTTGTGTTCTTTGTAGGTCTATGTTGAGGAATATATGGTGATGTTGGTAATTGGAATTGGTTATGGCAGGTTGGGAGACATGGTGAGGTCTGTTGGATTGTGCAATGTTGATTGTCTGAAGCAGACAGCTGCTGAGGCCTGATCGATCGGGTTAAGGTCAGTAATCCTATATGAGCCGTTGCATCCTTTACCAATTCCTTGTCTGGTTGATTTAATTTACTGTTTCTAGTACACATACGTCCATTGATCACGGATCTTCTATTCTTCTATCTATTACAGTTACCTTGTGGGTTCTGAAGTCTTTGAGAAAGCTCCAGCTTGATAAATCAAATCATGTTGCTCCTAAATAGTCCTGGATCACTTCAGCAAAAGAGAGAAATTCCTTTGCTGCAGCTGTTTGCGCTTTCAAAATAGCATCTAAGCAAGGGGAGTATGGTCAGCCAGCAATCATCAACTCTCCCTTACAGCTTTTTAGTCTGGTGATTGCTGGTTGGTTCTTATTGATTTTATTATCCTTATTTTCATAACCTTCCTCGTCCAATTTGCTGTTTGCTTTTTCCTGTCGATCTTTTTTGTGAATTCTTGTAGCTGAAATGACTACAAGTGCTGTGCCTATTCAGTGAAATAATTTCATAAATATATTTAGTAGAGTTAAACATGTGGGCCCATAAAATCAAGCTTTTTTTTTTTTTGTTCTCGCAAAATCATGTCTTTTGTAATTACTAGTGGTTTTGTCATGTGCACTGCAACCAAAACCATGTTAGAGCACCCACCTCTTATTTGCAAATCATATTAAGAGGAGCTCAGAGAGCACACAGTGACTCAAGAAAACATTGCTGCTTACCAAATCCATATTTACTTTTGATTTCATCTATAAGTTCAGTGATGCGCGTATTTCCCATGCTTTTGATTTGTTTATAGAGAGAATGATTATTAGACATTATGTTAACATATCAAATCCAATGCAGAAATTAACAATTGAATCAGCTCACTGTCGGGATTTATAATCAGCGTGAAACTGATATCCTAATGGCAACAAAAGGTACAGCATTTATCCACGTCACCGAATTAAAACAGTAAATGAGAAACAGGAAGAAAAGCCATGAGAAATGGTAATCGGCAATAAAATAAGGTAATTTTAATTACAGCTTATATTCACACAACGTTCAACCCACCGTTGTCATTGTTTTAACACCCGGAAAGGTGGGTCAATCTTAAATCGAATCAACCTGGAGCTTGAGCCGATCTTCAACGTAGAAAATTATAAATAAAAATACCTAATTTGTATAGTGAAAAAACCCAAGTTGCACCAGTTGTCTAATTAACCTGTTTAAAACCCAACTATTTAATACATAATTAGTCTAGTCTAGTAATGAATCTCAAAATCCAAATCCAAGATCTTTAGGAATGAATCTCAAAATCCAATTCCAAGATCTTTAGGAATAAAGCTAATGTTGGATAATTAATTAAATTTTTAATTCATATAGTTTGATTCATTTTCTATAGTTAATATATCTGGTTAATATATCTGGTGACTTGAAATAGAAAATTCAGAGAGTTAATAAATAGTAATAAATGATGTCTAATAAAGTAATTAATTGATAACTGAAATAATAACATGTGGTACCTAGTAAACTAGGTGACCGTAATTGATATATATAAAAGGTTTTTTTATAGATAGGAGATTCTCCAATGGTAAAGTCAATAACATGATAGAAAAAGAAAATACAATGATATTTTAAAGAGATAGACTTAAAAAATATATTTGTTAAAAATATTAAGAATGAAGAAATTATGAATCTTTATTTTTGAAGAAATTATGAATTTTTATTTAAAAGGTCTCAGAGTTTATTTATAACTTATAAATCTTAGTTTTTGTTTGTAAAGAAGATGACTTAGAATGTAATTCTACTCTTGTGATATTATAAGTTATATTCTACTTAAAATAATATGTATTTACTCTAAAATACATAGAGATTTATACGGGGTTCAAGAAAAATTATCTAAGGAGTGTTGAGCTGAAATCCATTAGAGATAAAAGTGAAGTGGATCCAGAGTGTTACTTGAATCCAAACCTATTGGGCTTGGACATGACATTTCAAGCCAATAATGATGATTTATGTAGAAGAATTTTTTGGATTATTTTTATGATAATTTTTTTAAAAAAATTTAAGATTATTTATTTATATTAGATTGAGTGTTTTAGGCAGGGGTCAGGTTAGGATAGATATTAATCCATACTCATCCGAGTTTTTACCTTTGAATTTTACCATCACCCAATCAAGTTTTAAAAATTTATATTTATCCAGGTTGGTATGCATAGGGTTCAGGTGAAATTGTTATTCCAAATAACAGGATGCATGGATATGCATTTAATATAATATCGATTCCTTTTACTTGAAAAATTATAAAAAGGAATAGAAACGAGTCAAATGACAATGCTTCTTCCAAGTAACCGAGTGCACCTGGTTTTCCTGGAGAGTTACCTGTTAGATCCTTGCAATAATAAATTAAAATAAATCAACGGTGTTTCCAGGTGAAAAACTTGGCAGAGTTTATTGATCTTTGTTCCTCGACAACGAGACTCGAGGCTGCTACTCCACTGCTCTCCCCTCTATTTATTTCCTGATCTTGAACATCAAGATCAACCCACTTGATAGGAAAATTTAATATCAATCAACACTTAAAATGATTTGAAAATACCATTAACCATCGAATCATAAAGAGAAGCTCTACTGCTACTGCACCAGCCCTCACTTGCTGTACAACACAGAGAAGAGAACAGCAGATGCCGATGATCATTGTATATAAATTTGACGGGTCGGTTTTGTTGTTTTAATCAAATTTAATTACTAAACTCATATAAATTATTCCAGACTCTCTCCTTCTATGATAATAATCTTGTCTGGGCCTTTCATCCATCGGTCGCTGCCCTGATTTTTCTGGCCGGCATCGGCCTCCATCTGCCGTGATAAGCACGCTCAAATTAGCTTCTAAACCCAGATCGAATGCTGGGCCCAAATTGATAATACCAGCATTCGGCTAGTATTATCAAAAAAAGAAAAAGAAAAAGAAAAATAAAAATTAGGAGGATATTGTGGATGCTGAGATGGCAGCATCTAAGCCTTACAATTTACAAACACAAAACTCCAAGTGAAAATCCCTGAAAGAGTACAGTGGTTTTTGTCTAGAATAAAATTCTAGAACCCTCTCTTCTTCTCATTAAACCCCTCAAGGGTTTTTTCTCTTCTTTGCAACGCTCTCCCCTCCTTTGCACTGAAATAGATAGCTGTAAGAGGAAGGCCGGCAAAAACATTGTCCCACTCTCTCTTTCCCCCTCTTTCTTTCATGGCTCCAGTGTTAAGCAGAAGCTTAGCTACTTCTGCCTCTTTAATCTCCCTCCCCTCCTCTATTAGACATCCAAATAACAAAGTCTTAAATCTGAGAAGTGTTTTTTTGCCACAAAATAACGGTCTCAAAAAGGAATTTTCCTGTTCTGGATTAAAATGGAAACTTGAGAAGAGAAATGACCGGATTTCTGTTCGGTGCGAGGCTGCTGTGGCAGAGAAGGAAGCTACTGATACTTCTGGCGAGAAGTTTGAGTATCAAGCTGAGGTGGGTCTCTTTATTATTTTGTGGAAGTTGGGGTCTTTTAGGTTTTCCGAATTGGGTATAGGTTTTTCTTGTGTTGTATTTTTGTTTTGTTTGATTTCAGTTTGACCAAGTGAAAAACACTTCTTTTTTATTGGACAATTATTGATGTTTGTGCAATTTCTTAGCTGTTTATGGAGTCCCGAATAGTGTGATTATGAAAGCTTTACCAAAGATGGATGCCTTGTTGGTTTTTATTGTTGTTACAAATGGTTTTTACATGCTACTTAGTTTGGAGTTAAAATTTTTGTCTACAAGGCACTGAAAGCTGGGAATCTCGATCCTTTCAGGTCAGTCGGCTCTTGGATTTGATAGTTCACAGTCTGTACAGCCACAAGGAAGTTTTCCTTAGAGAGCTCGTGAGGTGAGCATTGCCTCTATTGGTATTTAGCGAGCATTTTAATCTTTGTTAACACCAGGCTTTACGAGTTTGCTAATTTTCTATCTAGTCTGTTAGTCGGACATTGGAATTTTTTGTGTTAAGGGGAAAAATGAAAAAGCTGCCTATCTGGAAAGGCTTTTATGCCTTTTCTGCCCATTTACCAACGAAGAAACGAGTCATTGTTTTCATTTCTGTTGATATCATGTCGTTCTCGTAGTGCTTCCCATTTTAGTAGACATGGTAACTTGAATCTATTACTGTGATGCAGCAATGCAAGTGATGCTTTAGATAAGCTGAGATTCTTAAGTGTGACCGAGCCCTCATTGCTTGGGGATGCTGGTGACCTCGAGATACGCATCAGACCTGATCCAGACAATGGCACCATTACCATAACGTATGCAAAGACTTCTTTTAATTTAACTTCCTTCTTGTATATAAGCTTGCTGGGAGGCAATTTGATCTGATTTTTCTGAATCTGTAGAGATACTGGCATTGGGATGACAAAAGAGGAGCTTGTTGACTGCCTTGGAACTATTGCTCAGAGTGGCACATCAAAATTTCTAAAGGCTCTTAAGGTGTCTGTTTTCTTCTTTAGATAACATCAAATCGCCTACCATGTTTGGATTCTGCTGGACTTGTAATTAAGTTCCCTGCCCTGTTATCTACAGGAAAACAAAGATGCTGGGGCAGACAATGGTTTGATTGGCCAATTTGGTGTTGGTTTCTATTCTGCTTTCCTTGTAGCTGAGAAGGTGCAGTGTATTTTCTACGAACTTTTTTGTATATATTGCACTGTTTGCTATTATTTCAAGTTTTTGTGACTGCCATTTCTGTAGCAAGTTCCTGATTAAACTTGATTATCTATATTATTCGCAATCAGGTCGTTGTGTCTACAAAGAGCCCAAAGTCAGATAAGCAACATGTTTGGGAATCAGAAGCTGACAGTAGCACTTATGTCATCAAGGAAGAAACTGACCCTGAAAAGCTCCTCCGCCGTGGAACTCAAATCACACTTTATTTAAGGGTACACATGCTCTTTGGATATTATTCACAAATTAGATGAAAAACATGCATTTAACCTTATTATTGAAAGCCGGTATTATTTGCTTATGGTTCAAAAACAAAGCTGAAATTTTTTCTCTCTTTTCTGGCCTGTTCCGTGTGTGGGATTTGGGGGTAGGGTTCATGCGTCTCTTTGTCCAACTTCAGTAGTTGTGATCAAAAGCAGGCTTACAAATTATTGTCCTATTGCAGGAAGATGACAAGTATGAATTCTCAGATCCGGTCAGAATTCAGGGGTTGGTGAAGAATTACTCTCAGTTTGTTGCTTTCCCTATCTATACATGGGTAGAAAAATCGAGGACTGTTGAGGTCAGAATGCTTCCCTCTCTTACTTCCTGCTTATTGTCAAATTTACATGAAATTTGAAAAAATCTGGGTGGGTGGAACATTGGTTTGCATGTACATTAAATGGCTTGGAATCCTTAAAGGAAATTCATTACTCTTACCATTTTAAAAAACTGTTTTGGCTATTTATCAAAAAAAAAAAAAAACTGTATCGGCTCTTTGACCTGGTTTCTTAGAACCATGGTAAGAACTTATATTTTCTGAATCACACAATGTTG